AAAAAATCTAGCATTGCAAAGATGATACTAATTTTTCATGGTTCGGTACATACCATACAGTCAATGAAACAATGCAAAGAAGTTACATCTCTATTAGTTTGAAATTGCCTTTGCGACAACCAAGAAGATCAAATGTGTCTATAATTTCATCAGAACTAAACTTCGACGCTATATCCTTCTCGATGTAGATTATCATACAATGTCGAAGAAAATCATCACCCATTGTACTTCGAAGACGAGTCTTGACAAGTTTCATTGCTGAAAATGCCCTCTCTTTGCGCCAGCAGTAACCCATAACTTTGCCTCTTCAAGGATGGTTGGAGGGGAATAGACAGTGGCGCAAATTTTTGCCAAAATACCCTAGCATTTGGCTAGTTCCAAACAGTCCAAGAGGTGAGCATGATGAGAGAGGTCATGGCATGCCAATTCGGGTTTCGGTTATCGGTTCGCTTGTCCCACCACTCCTTGACGGATGCATCAAGATGCCATTCGGGAATGTTGACATGAGGTAGCCCAAGCTTCTCGATGATAGATCTCCAAAGCCTAAGCATGTATCGACACTTGAAGAAGAGGTGCGGCCCCGTTTCTTGCTCTCTCTTGCATAGTGGACAAAGACCACAATTGACCCAACCTCGCCTCTCCAATCAATCGGCGGTCCAAATTCGATCTTGTAGGGCTAGCCACGCAAAGAATTTAACCTTAGGGGGTGCCCAAGCCTTCCAAACCATGCGGTCCATGGGAGAGAGAGTCAATCCAAGGAACAGAGCCTTGTACGCAGTGGCCGCCGAGTAGACCCCATCATTCGCGTGCTTCCAAGTAATGTCGTCTTCGGCTTGGTCATCAAGTGGGAAGTCATGAACAAGCATCTAAAGAGTGAAGAATTCGCTAATGTCGCGAATGGAGACGGCGGTGTTTGGATTGATTTTGAGAATCCACGCATTCTCATTGAGGGTTTCACGCATCTTCCAATTCTTTCTCCTCGAGGCCTCGTAGATTAATGGCGCAATATTCATGGGTTTCCGCCCAAATAGCCAAGGAGAGTCCCAGAACGGTGTTTTTACGCCGTCACCCATAGTGATAGTTGTAGAGGCGTAGAAAAACTCGAGGTCCTCAGTGATGCAAAGGTTACCAAACCCCACCCAAGACTTGTGGGACTCCTTCCATTCATACCACAGCCAACAAAGACGTAAGGCCCGCGAAAATTTGTCGGTGTTGAGTACCCCTGGGCCACCATATTCCTTTGGTCTGCAAACTATATGGCCGATAAATGTACTGGCATACACTACATTTCCACGTCTTCTGTGGCCGAGAATAAGTTGTCAAATAGCTGACAGCATAAAGTGACGGGCACGAAGTTCAGGGTGTGCATGGGTGATCCGTGTTTACCTCAGGATCTTCTGACCTGAAGTTCATTGGAGCAGCGGCGAGGAAGGCGTATTCGCAGCCAGAAACTGCTTCGTCGAAGCTGCCTTCCACCTCCAGTTGGGCACGAATGATCTCCAGGGGGCCAAGCGCTTGCAAGTCCTTGAGGTGGGAGTTCTTCTCCATGTCATCTTAATACAAAGTACAAATCTTCAGAGTAAGTTTTAACCTCAGGGAGTACACACTATATATAAACAAAAAAGACATGGCATATCCAGTCGAGACTGAAGAACCTAAGAATTCAAGTCAAACTCTGAAAGGAAGTTTGCTATAGTACATACTCCCTCCGTCCGGAATTACTTATCGTAGAATGAATAAAATTTGATGTATCTAAACTAAAATACGTCTAGATACATCCATTTCTCCGACAAGTATTTCCGGACCGAAAGAGTACAAAACAGAACTAGAAACAAGAAACGAACCGGGGTCTCTGACCGTCGTCTTGACAGCGTAGCCTTTCTGGAGCAGCAGCTTGATGAGCGCTGAGGCGATGTAACCGCTCCCTCCGGTGACGCATGCCGTCTTCCTTCCCTCACCGGCCGACATCGCCGGCCACCACTCAATCAGTGCGGGTAACGGCGAAGAGAGGGGTGATTCGCTCCTCTGCTCCGGTTGTTGCCACTGCTCTGTAATTAAGGAGCCTGCAAGTGATTTTCCAGATCTGCATATCGTAGGCGGACAAGTGTAGACAACTCACAACCGAGACAAGTTGCAGCGGATGACGAGTTCTTTTTGGCAGCTGAAGATGACCTGCAATGCATATATGCCTTGTTCGTGATCTCACCAAGAAAGTGATGATGTAGCTGGTGGTTGTTTACTCAGTAGGCATCGCCGTGCACTTTGTACGGTAACAGGCGACGATTCCAATGGTTCACGCTGCGTTGCGTTTGCGTTGAACGTGAGCGATGCGTCGCGCCCGCGCCGAGCGTCGAGCGTGCGTTTATTTTGTTTTCCTAGGAAGTGGGATATGATTTGGCCGGCGGTGGTGACTGGGGGAGGTTGCACACGCGACGGCCGACGACCGCTCGCCAGGTGTCAGTTTGCTCCGTATTAGGCCAACTCCATCGCACAACCTTAAACGGACGTCCGGATTGACCGGATTTTGTCCCTTTGGGGTGCTGATGGTACGCCCGTGTCCGGCTGTGTCCATTGGGTCGTGCGTGCGCCCATCACGCGGCCGCACCCCAAATCACGTCCGTGTTAAAAAAACAATAAAAAAAGAAAACATAAAAAAATGACTAAAAAATTAAATAAACGCAGTTTAATAACAGATAAAACTTAGTTAGGGGGGTCCATGGCCACAAAACGGCCGAGTTTCGTCACATTAATAATTAAACATAAAAAAGAAAAAAACGGTCGCCGCCGGCGCGCTCCTGCCCGAGCCCGTCATTGCCGTCGCCATGGCGCTCTTCACTGGCCGCCGGTGTCGTCGTCGTCGCTGACGAGGTCGACGTAGGCCGGCGGCGTCCACAGGTGGGCCGGCGGTGCGTGCGGTGCCTGCTAGACAGGGGCGGCCATCTCCGGAGCAGTGCAGGACCAGGCCCACCCCGTGCCCACCAGCTGCTGGAAGGCGGCCGCCGGCTCCTCCTCCATGGCGTCCTTCCTCCTCTCCTCCGTCAAGGCCGCCATCTGCAGCTCCGGGAAGGCCACGTCGCCGGCGGCAGATAGTGCCATGGCCTCCTCCAAGCCGTCCCATTGCCGCTCGTCGTGCGTGCATGGAGTCCTCCATGACACGCTGCACGAGACGGGCTTCCTCCTCCACCGTCATGCGAGGAGGTGGTGGTGGCAATGGAGACGGCGACGGCGTGGGCGTGAGGCCGCGCACCACCCTACGCCCGCGCTCCTGGGGAGCAGCCGCTCGGCGCTCTGGGCGTGGCCGTCGTGGCCCCGTCGACGTGCCGGCGAAATAGGACGCCCGCTGCGCGTCGTGCTCATCGCGGAACCAGGTGTCCCACAATGGCGAGTCGGGGGCGTACCTGGGGTCGTAGTAAAGGTCGTTCGGGAGGTGGCGATGGCGGCGCTCGATCTCCTGGCGGCGCGCACGGCCGGTCACCGGGACCGGCGGGATCGGCACACGGTCGGCCGACAAATGCCAGTTGTTGGGGAGGTGGGCGTCGCTCCAGGGGATCGGTGTCCTCGTCTCCCAATAACGGCGGCACACCTCAGCGCGGATGTAGTGCCGGCCGCACTCGCCGGCGGACGCGGCGGCGATGGAGAACGCGGGCGGCGAGGGGGCCCGGCATGGTGGCGATGGCGAGGCCGGCTCCTCCTTCTTCACCGAGCCGCGGCGACGCCCCAACGAGGAGCCAGCCTCGCGGTCGTGCTTGCCTTTGCGGCCGTAGTTCCAGAGCCCCATGGCTGCGGGGCGGCCGGCCGTCGAGTTCTTGGCTAGGGTTTGGGGCCTGGGGCTGTCGGGTTTCGAGGAGGCCGCGGGGTGGCGTGGGGCAGTGTGGACGACGACCGGTCCACGCTTCCCACTTACAGAAGGACGGTGACCCTTCCATGTGTGGATGACAGGTGAGGCCACCCGCCCGTGCGCATTGATGTGGGCGGGAGGAAGGTAGGTGGCCGCCTGCCACGCGGCCCCGACACGGACGAGGGCGCGTCCGTTTGGTGTCCGCCATGACCCAAACCCGGCGCAAGTTTGCGCTCGAAATGGGTCGGCCCGGACACAAAACGGACAAGATGGGTCCGGGCCGTCGCGCGCTGGGCCGCCTCCTTTGTCCCTTTTACCCCAAACGGACCGGGGCGGACAGGATAGGGTCGCGCGGTGGAGTTGGCCTTAGCATCTCGCAGTGTATTGTTGGGAATAAGCCGTGGAAGAGCCCAGGACGCGCTGCGCGTGCGTGTGCGGTGGTGAACGCGTCGGGCTCGGCCATGGCAGCCTGGGTCGCGTGTGTGCGTGACCAAGTGGGCGTGCGTGTGTGTCCTCGCGTTCAAGCGCGTGGGCCGTTGTGTGTAGGCAATAGAAACGGAGTGCTGACCATGTTGGGCGCTTGACCCGACCTGCGACGTTTGCGTGCGTGCGCGGCGGATACGCGTGACTAGGAGCGTGGACGTGGGGGTGTGCGCAGTGGGAGCGTGGTGTGGCGCGTCCGTGCATGCTAGGGATAAAAGGTCAGCTCACGGTGGAGGTGTGCTCCTGCTATTGTGTCCGGACGGCTACCGTCGCTGATGGTGGAGGTGAGGCCCTCCCGCGTGCCGATGGTGCTGATGCCCTAGTCCCGGCTCTGATTCTTCACCGTGTTGTCCTCACTTCGCGGTGCCGTGGTGAGACGGCGTGGAGGCCTCATGACCGTGTTGGCGCAGGGTGGTGGTTGGTTTGGTGGCGGGATCCAGAGCACCCGAGGTACGGGTTGGGATCGGGGGAAACCCCTGTCGGCGTGGCCGACTCCGGCGTGGTGGCGCCTGTGGGTGCCACCTGACCTTTTGGGAGGGCGTCGGGGGCTACCCTTCCTCTCGCCTCGTCTTATACCGGGGGAAACCCTTGGCAGCAGCGTCGTCATCATCGCGATCCTTCTTGGAGGTGTTGATTGATGTCGACGCTTCGGAGTCTTGGAGCCTAGTGGATGAGCCTGGTGGGCGCAGCGATCACGAGGCTTCTTCGTTTTTGTTGATCCGCCGTTGTCAGCATTTATTTCTTTTGCTCTTTCTCTGTTGTTTCTTTTAGCCGTGACTGTGCTGCTTCCGCCCCAGCACCTATCCCTGTATGATTCGGTTGGTTGCTTTGTATACAAAGAAGGGGGAAACCCTTTTTCGGCAATAAAAGGCCAGCTCCCTCCATCGTTGTAAATTGCCAGGTCGAGTCTGAGCTCGAGAAAAAAAGGCGCCGTTGGTGCGGCGGGCGGAGTTCGTGCTCCGGCAAAAAAACACTTGTGTACTTGTGTCTTTCTTCTTCCTCCTTCTTCTTCTTTGTTGTGTCAGAGAGTGAGCGGAGGGAGGTGCTGCTGAGCGAGAGGAAGAGGAAGACCGCGACAACTACAATTGGCATCAGAGCCATGTTCAGGCCAGGGCGCGCCGGCGATGTCAATCGTTGCCTACGGCGGCGGTGCGGGCGGATCATTGTCGCAGGCGGTGCCACTGCTCAACGGCGACAACTACACTGCGTGGGCCATCAAGGTCGAGGCGAACCTCGACGCGGCCGGGCTGTGGGAGGCGGTGGTCGTCCCGGAGGACGCGGCGGCGGCCGTGATTGCCAAGAAGGACAAGCCGGCTAGGGTGTACCTGCTTGGCGCGCTCGCGGAAGACCTGCTTCTGCAGGTGTCATCAAAGAAGACGACAGCAGAGGTGTGGGCGAGCTTGAAGGCCAGGTTCGTGGGCGCGGACCGCGTGCACGCGGCGCGGCTCGGCACGCTCCGGGGGGAGTTCGAGCTCATGCGCATGGCGAGCGACAAGTCGCTGGACGCGTTCACGGGGAAGATCAACGGCATTGGCAGCATGTTTTGCAGGGCTCGGATCGACGCTGGAGGACGCAGCAATGGTGAAGAAGCTGCTGGACTATGTCCCCGATCGCCCGTATGCGGCGGTCGCCGGGATGGAGCAGTTCTGCGACCTGGAGAAGCTGCTGTTAGACGAAGCACTGGGACGCCTCAAGGCCTTTGACGAGCGTCTGCGACGGCGCAGACAGGCGGACGGCGGGCGTGCTGATGGGCAGCTAATGTACACGGCGGCGCAGTGGGAAGCACGGGAGCGTCGACACGGCGGTGCTCGGGACGACGACGAAGGCAAGAGCGTGGCGTCGGGCAGCAGCGGGAACCGCCGTGGACGCTGCTACAAGTGCGGCGTACGCGGCCACTTCAATAGGTACTGCCCCAAGCTGCGGAGGGAGTCGATGGCGGAGCGCGCGCGGCTGGCGGACGTTGCCGGCATCGAGGACGACGGCCTCCTCTAGTTCATGGCTTAGGGGGGAATGTGTTGGGAATAAGCCGTGGAAGAGCCCGGGACGGGGTGCACGTGCGTGCGCGGCGGTGAAAGCATCGGGCTTGGTCGTGGCAGCCTGGGTCGCGTGTGTGAGTGACCAGGTGTACGTGTGTGTGTGTCCTTGCATTCGAGTGCGTGGGCCGTTGTGTGTAGGCGATAGAAACAGAGTGGGGACCACATCGGGGCGCTTGACCCGGCCTGCGGCGTCTGCGTGCGTGCGCGACGGATACACGGGCCTGGGAGCGTGGACGTGGGGGTGTGCGCAGTGGGAGCGTGGTGCGGCGCGTCCGTGCGTGCTGGGGATAAAAGGCCAGCTCCCTCCACCGTTGTAAATCGCCAGATCGAGTCTGAGCTCGAGAAAGGACGCCGTTGGTGCGGCGAGCGGAGTTCGTGCTCCGGCAAAAAAAACACTTGTGTACTTGCGTCTTTCTTCTTCCTCCTTCTTCTTCTTTGCTGTGTCAGAGAGTGAGCGGAGGGAGGTGCTGCTGAGCGAGAGGAATAGGAAGGCCGCGGCAACTACAATATTGCTTTTTGTGATAGAGAATGAATTTAATTGACTCAAAATTAAAGCATTAAGAGGATACAAAACATAACGAGCGACACTCAGCCTCAGCAAAGTTTTTCAA